AAGTTGCTGTCCTTTTGTTCTTCCGTCTAGTTGTGGAGGACGTTGCTTCACTGGCCCATGTTGGTATTATCATTGCGCTCTTCCCGGGTGAGGCAGATAGGTCACCGGCCTCTGGACGGCTGCTCACGGTGGCTCTTGGCAGCTCACACTGGCTGCCTGCCACACACGGTAGCTTATGGCAGCCCACTGCAGCAGGGGCTACAGCCTACACCGTCACCAGCAACTCACGGCAGTCCAGCTCCAGGTCAACCTGTTGTTCACCATCTTAGTCATAGAGGGCACAGCGTCACTGGTCCTCATGTGGGATCCGAAAGGGGGCCCTGCTGCTCAGAGCTGGTGTCCCAAGCCAGCTCTTAACCAACACGCCACTTGGCCAGCCCTATCAGCTAATTTCTAAACAGAAACTTTGCAGGCCAGAAGGGACTGGCAGGAAATATTCAAAAGGACAAAAAGAAAGGACCTATAACCAGGATTACTCTATCCAGCAAAGCTATCCTTTAAAATTGAAGGACAGATAAAGAGCTTCCCAGACAAGAAAAAGCAAAGGGAGCGCCCAGCCACCAAAAAGAACTTCCCAGACAATAAAAAGCTAAAGGAGTTCATCACCGTCAAACCAGTATTACAAAAAATGTTACAGGTACTTCTTTAAGAAGAATAAGGAAAAAAATATCAAAAATACAAATAATAAAATGGCAATAACTACGTATCTATCAACAATTACTTGAAATGTAAGTGGATTAAATGCTCCAGTCAAAAGTCACAGGGTGGCTGAATGGACAAGCAAACAAAACGTTTACATTTGCTGCCTATAAAAAAGATTCATTTCAGATTGAAAGACACACAGAGACTGAAAGTAAAGGAACAGAAAAAGATATTTCATTAAAATAAAAAAAGAAAAAGAGGCAGTACATTGTACAATGGAATGTTTCTAAGCCATTAAATAAAAGAATGAAATTTTGCCATCTGCAACAACACGGGTGGACCAAGAGGGTATTGTGTTGAGTAGACGAAACCAGACAGAGAAAGACAAATGTCATAAGATTTCACTTATATGTGGAATCTAGAGAACAGGATAAAAGAACACACAAAACATAAACAAGCTCTCAGATAAAGAGAGCACTTTTATAGTTGTTGGATGGGGAATATGGGTGAAGGGGAGAGGGAATTAAGAGGTACAGATTGGTAGTAACACAACAGTCATGGAGATGTAGAGTATAGCATGGGCAATACAGTCAGCAGTATTGTAATAACTATGTATGGTGTCAGGTGTGTACTGAATTTATTGGGGTGATCACTTCATAAATTATATAAACGTCTAATCACTGTTTTGCACATCTGAATCTAATATATTATGTCAGCTATTTTTGAAAAATAAAAAATATTTAAAAAGACTGCTCAGGCCTGCATATGCATTTGTGTGTGTGTGTGTGTGTGTGTGTAAATTATATGAGACATATTTGTTTTTCCTATATACTAAATATTACATTTCTATCAAAAATGAGACAGAAATATAACAGTGGCTTAATGATTATTATCCCTACTACTGACTAAAATGTATTCTTGAAAAATAAATCTTCTACATTTTATCTCTAGTGATCAGTGTCTCCAACTACCTTTTACTGTTACAATCTTTTATGGGTCTAATGATCTACATGCCCTGAATTAATCAATCTCATTTCTTGCTTAGTATTTATTTTATGTAAATGACAAAAGTTATGTTAATAAAAACGGAACTTTAAATATCTGTCTTTACCCAAATATTCAAAAGGATTGCTTAGAAACCAAAGCCCAGAACAATTCTATCTACACATTAAAACAAAAACAAAAACAAACAAACAAAAAATCATTGAAAAAAATCCTCTTCTATATGAATAATCATAAGTTCCCCAAAGTCAAATTCTGCAGATAATTTTAAAACGAAAATAACAATTTTTAAAATGCAAAAGGTGCAATAAAATAATAACTTAAACTCTAATGAAAACACAGCATCCACATGAAAATCACAACAGACCTTTCAGTGTACTGCACAATCACGTGACATACTATTAAGCAAATGAAATTAAGGACAAGAGAGCTGTACTTTTTTTTTTTTTTGTAACTTGAGCCGCACATATGGAGCATTTTGTTTCACTTCTGGTTTACTTTCTTTTCATCAAAGACCCCCACTGTAATGCCTTCACACAGGGCTCAGTGTTGTGGTTACCATGGAAACCATAATTCTGAATGTCCTAACTTGTGTGATTAAAATTTAACACAAAGTAACATTGATAGTCTCCCTCATTTCCCCTACCACCAATATCCAATTCTAATTAGCAGTACAATAACTGGTTTGGAAGGAATAAAGAGCTCTGGCTACTATAGCCTCACATTGCCAGTTATTCACAGGGAATCTCATAGACAATATATAGTGATAGTCCTCTTTTACAAAAGGCTAGATTTAAACAGAGAAATTATTTCTAGTTGACTTTCCAGACTTTTCTATAAAATAACATATATTGTTTTCCTCTTTTTATATATTGTTAAGAGTTTTTATTAGTATTATTATTCTATACTTATTTCATTTACCAGATCAACTAGAGCAAAAGCTTTTCATGATGATCTAACATACTAGGGTAATAAATGAAGCTGTAAGACACTTTAATTCCTTGAATCCACTTATAATATTTATATTTATTTCTATAATTACTACACTGCTGACTTCAACATGACATTAACCCTTCCAGATACATTAGTCATTAAGATACAATATATGTAAAACCTTTTTATTTACCTGAGGTTTAAAAATTCAACTGCATCTTTTCTTTTTTTTTCCTTTTTATTTAATGAACACTCCAACAGGAGCTGATAAACTCTTGGTACCCCATCACAAAAATATATGCTTTCTTGTTGATTATTTTGATTTGCAGAAAACTATATTGTCTCAGGGGCACACTTGCACTGATGATGAGCCCTGCTACTCATCACTTCTACTTATAACTAAGTACAAGTTTATTTCATTAGTCACAACATTTTAAATTTGAAAATTATATTCTTTCATTCCAACTGAGCTTCCTGACTACCTTATCATACATCAGAGAAAATATGAATGACATTCCTCCCCACTCCTAAAATCCCAAAGGAAACTGTTTATAGAGCAAGAGGGAAATTTTTAAATATTAAATATTTAGAGTCAGAAAGATTTGCCAATAAGTACAATGCTCTCAAAATTTAGGGTAGAAGTGAAGCCCATGAAAGTTAAGTGATATCCTTAATACGTTCAGTACAAGAACCACTAGCAGTAGTTTTAAGTATTCAGTTAGCATTCTTATTCATTCTCTACAGAAGAGTGACATTGATATTGTTATTAGTTCACACTTTTTCCTATCTTTATTTAACAAACTAAATGCCTTAAAATATAAAGTATATATAGTATTTGTAAAATTGATCTTGAAAATTAATGCAATTAACCCAAAAGATGAAATAAATAAATAAATAAATAGACAATACATATTGTCTAACATTGTCTAATATGTGTAATTTCAAAACTTGAGTTAACACTAAAAATAATCTTTTAAGAGTACATTTTAGCCATAAAATTTTCAGTCACTGCTAAACTAGTTAACAGTACCTTTTACTAATAAATATTAATTCCTAATATGAAAAACATAAAGTCATCTCTATTCCTAAGAGTTTCACACAGTCCATTTAATATCATTTATCCATTAGTACAGATCTGATTATTCATTGAAGCAAGACTTACTTCAAATATCATTTCAACATTTGAATAAATTATAATTTTAAGTAATGTCTGACTCTATGGACAATTTTATTTCTGTATACTTTCTACTTACAAGTAAGGTATTATCTTGTCCTATAAATACTCCATTCAGGACTTTTATGTCTAATTAGAATATGTGAATACATTCAAGTAACTTTAGTATGACATTATGTGATTTTATCCTTCGCAGTAAGAAAGGATGAAGGAGAGAAAAGGATTGGGTGGATGTGTGTGTGTGTGTGTGTGTGTGTGTGTGTGTGTGTGTGTGTGTGTAGGGGAACCAGGGATTAGGGACACACTTGTGGAAGGAGAAAAAGCACATGCAAATGAGAAGAAGAAGAGAAGAAGAAAGGAGAATTCCTTTATATACATGTTCTCCATATCAGGTATGACTCAGTTTTTAAATAAACATTAGATTTTGAAAGATCCTTTGAATATGTTAGTTCACATTCAGGAGAATACCAGGAAAGGAAAATATGTTAAAAAAAAAATGGTGTTCTGTACCAGAGGCTTCATAATGCAGCCAGTAGATAACAAAGCAGATGAAGTCACAGAGGTGGAGAGGTCAACAAGCCTACGCAAGTCAAGAAAGGGATAAAAAAAAAAAAAACATTATTGTACTGAGTAACAATCAGCTAGATTAGGGTTGATAGATATGATTATCATATATATTCTAAAGTTAGACTGTCATTCCATTTACTGTCAATACATTTACAGAGGCTAATAATTTTCATCCCATGACATCTAATGAAAGTCTACTAAAATCTAAATTTGCAATCAAAATTAGAAGCTAAAATCATATTATCTATCTTTAGAGTTCCAAAGGCTGTGTCTTATTTAATAAATTATCCTATCACATTCATTTCAACTATTCCTTCATTTTAATTCTTGGACATACCACAAGGGAAACTGACAAATTTTCAGGATTGCAGTTTCAGTGAAATATTGTTCAATGATCTTTTTCTCAAGGCAAAATAACATATATCAAAACTAACATCACTTTATTATTTCATCATTCAGAGTCTAGCCTGCTGGGTGAGATAAAAAGACGTCTAAAATAATATGAAGAATGGTTCAGTCCAGAAATTTGAACAAAGCATCGACTTACAAAGTCCAGATTTACTTACCTGTTCAAACTACAGTGTGTTTTGGATCTCCATTGACTGATTTATTACTCACCCATTCTATTTCTACAGCTATACATTCTAACCACCTTTGGAGTAAAATACGTAGAAGTAGAACCTTTAATATAAACTTTAAAATATCTTCTTTGAAAAAAATGATTCTTAAAAATAAGATACTCAACATACCCCTCTGGAGCCTAAAAAGACCAGTCACTGTTTTGAAATTTTTTTCAGATTAACAACTTCTGCAGTTATTCAAGTTTTCCCAAGATAAATACTCATAAGTAGCACTTAGAAAATACCTAGGAGCCCTTTTGCCCAGGGATAACTTTCCAGAAGCTATATACACAGCATAGGTTTTTTAATACCCTTCCTCCAATCTTTTCCTACTAGCAATATTTTTTAAAGGCATTGGTATCAGAGGGAATTACCACTACAATATTTATTGATAAGGTACAATGATCAGAAGCATTCATTTACTTTGGATATTTATATAAGTCCAGAATAAATATTAAGTTTTTATTTTCAACTACTTATCATTAGATTATTCATCAACTGACAATTCAAAACTACTGCTAATTCAGTATATTTAATCAGAGATGAAATTAAATGGAAATGAAAAAGAAATATATTAAAAACTTCATTTGTGGAATAATTAATAACACCATGACTGAGAACACTGAGACACAATATAACAAAAAGTATTTGCCTACAAAATTCAATTTCCTCACTGAAATTTACAATGGAGAGATTACATGATTATAAACGCATTACCACCAAGTTTTGTAAAAAATGTAGCCATTCACAATTTTTGGCAAAAAAGCCAGCAAACAATTTCTTGCTTCTATTACACTTGTAAAAGGCAACTTGAGAAGATACTCCCCAGGAATTAAATTATCTGGTTAAACATTTTAGTTAATTGCATTATTGTTCTCAAAACATTGAAGTGACACTAAGCCAAATCAAGAAATCCAATTTCTTTATAATTTTTTTAAACTGTTAAATTCTCTTCCACTAACACATCTTAGGACCCAAGGAAAATGCATATATTCTACATTAGATGCATTGGAAAGATATAAAAGAAGCTTTTATTTAAGTATAAAATTTATATTGTTTTAAACGAGAAAAACGTAGTCTTCCTACCCCAAATAAGGTCTAAAAGTACATATTTCAACAGTCTATGTAAAAGTGCAGTGAAGGGAGCTCACCATTTAAACTTTCATCAGTGCTGAGAGCACTGGTGCTTGTGAGCAGTTCACAGAATACTGTAGCTATTAGTTCTAGCCCCCTATTTCATAATTTTTATCTGATCACCTTATCCCACCTTTAATGCAATGCATCTCTCACATATTCAAGAGATGTTTAAAAATAATAATAATAATAATAGCATCACAATAATGTCTGTGTAACTAGGTCTGTAGTAAATATATAATAATATAAAAACGGTCTCTTAACGTGTCCTTCAATTTCTTCTAAAGTATCTTTACCCGATACTATTCTCACTCAGGGAAATTATATTCCCCTAGAACAGATTATATATTATTCTCTAATGAATACTCTGGCCTTGTCATGACCATTCTCTTAGAACGTCATTCTCTTTTCTGGCAGTAAAATCCTTCTCATATGCTACCACTGCTGTGAAGCTTTCCCAAGGACTTTTATTCTGAATTAATTATTCTCTTTTTCTCATGTTTCAAGTACAGTACTCAGTATATTATAATATAGCTAGCTATACATGTTTCTGTATCCCTAGCTAGACTTGATATTCTCTAGGTCAGAATAACATTATCACTCCAGAACATAGCAGAGGTCTTATACACACCAGACACTAATATAACATCTACAAAATAAATGATTTTTTAAGTAAATTAAAATTAGGTATTTTAAACTTCATTACTCTTAAAGATTTATGGTGATACTCCTTAGCCTTTGAAATATGTTACTTAATGAAGTAGTATTATTCTGCATTAAGCAAATGTAATTAAAGGTGAAGTTTTTAATCAATTACCTTTTCCTGCGAGTATAAAGTTGAAAATTGTTTAGAAAAATGAATATTTACCTCTAAAAAAAAACAAAAACAATTTTTGAGGTCTATGTTTCATAATTAAGAAAAGACAAACTAATTTTTATTGATATTAGAAATTCTGAAAAAAAATTAAAAATTTCAATAAAATCCTGTAATAGTAACAAATTGGGATATGATTTTACATTTACCCACATATTTACTGAATATAAAACAATGTCCAGAATTTTCCAAAATTTTAAATTTTTGAGAAACAGTAGGGAAATTAATGATTCTACAATATTCAAGTTTTCCAGATTAGTTAGTGGATTGTTTCCAAGCACCAAAACTGTTTTTCAAAATTATAAGTGTTTTTTTTAAAGCCTTTTAAAATGTATTGTACATATCCTTGCCTCCTAAGGAAGTATATTAAATACACGCAACTAACTTTTTCTTCTCTATGACCCAAGATCATCACAGAATTGCAGCATCCTATGTTTTTAAGAATAAGTATGTCCTTTATAGATATTCTAGTGCTGATCTTACTAATTGGACAAATGAGAATTCTACAATCCAGAGAGATTATCTGATGTACCCTGTGTCTCACTCACAGCAAGTTAATGACAAGACCAGGCCTAGCGTGAAGGTAACCTGATCCAGACTTCTTCCAACTTAAGACCACATGTGTAAATTGTTTATAGATCAGCGTCTCTTTGACACATAGGGAGACTTTGCTCTGATATATATTAATAGATCCATCCTTCTGCTAACTTTTTTTATGATGACTTTTAATGGCGATTTGGTTCCTTAATATACAACATCAGATTCACATTTAGTTTTTAGTATTTCTATTCTTCTATAATTTGGTGAACTTAATATACTAAGTCTTAGGTGCTAGATAATCACATTTGTTAGAACATGTAAAATATGATCACAATGGGAGTATTCTATGTAAAATGCATGTGAAATTTAGTGAGAATAAAACATCTGAATATTACATCTAGTGCATAAACAGTTAAGCTGTAGTTCCTGTGATCGGTTGTTTTAGGATCATTCACTGAAAGAATCAAGACACATTTCTTTTTAAAAAGTGAAAAATATCAAGAAAGAAAAAAAATTACAAAAGCAGCATTTTCCACTTGGATGATGTAATTTTTCCTATATAAATTCAGAGACCAATAAAAGCAGGTCTTACCATACTCAGGCCAGTGTTAAAAAATTAACAATTTAACTCAGCACTTGAAGAAGATTAAAGTTTTTGCTCAACACTAATTTAAATAATAACAGTGACACTTCAAAACAGAAAACAAATAGAAACAGAAACAAAATCCAGTAAAAGAAATAAAACGCAGAAATAATAAAAAGTAAATAAATAAATAAATAAATAAATAAATAAATACACTTAACACATGACCCAGTAATCCAACTCGTGGGTATTTATTTACCCTAGAGAAATAAAAACTTATGTATACTCACACATACATACACACACACACACACACACACACACACACACACACACACACCATACAAATGTTTATATGTTTATAAAAGCCACCCAAGTGTTCTTCAACAGGTGGATGGATGAAGAAACTGTGAGACATCCACAAAATGGAATACTGCCCAACAATAAGGAAGGAAGGAATTACCTGCATACTCAAAAAAAGCAATATTTTAAAAATTATTTTGAATCTCAAAGGCATTATGATAAGTGAAAGAAGTCATTCTCAAAAGGCTACATATTGTATGATTCATGTATAGGATATTCTAAAAAAGCTAAAAACATAGGAATGAGGTTGCTAGGGGTTACATACAGAGGCAGAGAATAATTACAAAGAGCACCCATGAGGGAATTTTTAGGTGATAAAACTACTCTCTGTGCTACTTGTGAGGAAAACACAATTCTATACAAGTCTTATGTATCAGAATTGTACACAGAAAACAAAACAAACAAATGTAAGTACAAATGAACAGCCAGGTAGATAGACAAATATATAAACAGATAACAGTTATGGTTGCTTGAGTATATACGAATGTTAAAATTCTTCAGCCATTCACAATGGGTAATTTCAAATAAATGTACTCCAAAAACTATAAATGTAGACTGTCAATTTACAAAATCATGAACAAATCCCTCTCCTAAAAACAAACAAACAAAACAAAAACCAATAGCCAATAATGACCTGTTTTTAGCTTTTAGCTGTGCCATAAAATCCCAATTTATAAATATTTAGAGCACAGAGGAGAGCTCTTTCTATTCAACATACCATCCCTGATTCAGGTGGAAATGAACAGTCTTTTGGAAACCATACTTTTCCAATGCATGGACTAGAAGCAACAGAATTTAAGATAAAAAAGGCTGGTTAAGTACAAGCATCCAGACACAAGATTTGTTCTGGGCCACTGATGTTTCACGATTTATCCATAACAATAAGAAATAAAGGACAT